AATCATAACTCCTGGATAGTGGACATAGGTGCATCGGATCATCTTATTTGTTCACTGGATTTCTATAGCTCTTTTCATACTATCGATCATGTGTTTGTCTTAATGCCCGATGGTTCTAAAATAGTTGCTACTCATTTTGGCACTCGTTTCTTTGTCCTCAAAGTTAATTCTTCATAATGTTCTTTTTGTTCCTACATTTTATTTCAATTTCATTTTTGTAAGTAAAATGACTCAATCTGGCAAATATGTTCTTGATTTTCGTCATGATTGTTGTTTGATTCGAGCACTTCCTTCATAGACGGTGATTGGACTTACTAAAGTCAAGAATGGTCTTTACTTCCTACAAAATGCTTTGTCTCTTCCTTCTTCGTTAGCTACTATTTCTTCTAAATCGACTTTTGTTCAAACTAGTCATGTATTGAATGTTGACAATTGTTTTGATCTTTGGCATTTTAGATTAGGATATATTCCTCATGATAAGATGAAAATTGTTCATCAAATTAGTCCTAATGTAAAATGTACTTCAAGTTCAAATAAAAATCTTTGTATTGTTTGTCCTATGGCTAAACATAAGAGACTTTCTTTTCCTATTCATACATAGTCTACTACATTTCCTTTTGAATTAGTTCATGTTGATATCTAAGGGCCATATTCTCAATTAGCTCATGGCAAATAGCAATATTTCCTTATCATTGTTGATGATTATACAAGGATGACTTGGGTATTTTTGATGCAATCCAAATCAAATGTTGCTTCCATAATTCCTACTTTGTACAATCTTCTTCAAACACAATTTTATCCGCCATTAAACAAATTAGATCAAATAATGGTGTAGAATTTAAATTGTTTGAGTTTCATTCTGTCAAAGGCATCATTCATCATCTGTCTTGTGTTGAAACACCACAACAAAATAATATTGTTGAGCGTAAACATCAACATTTATTGATTGTTGCCGGATCTTTGTTATTTCAATCTTCCTAACCTATTGTTTTCTAGGGGTGAAACCGTGATTACTTGCTTCATATCTCATCAACAAATTGCCTTCCAAAATTCTACATAACAAAACACCATATGAAATGTGATTTAACAGGCAACCTACAAACAATCATTTGAGAGTCTTTGGTTGTCTTTGTTTTGCTTTCACTTTGTCTCAAAACGGAAGAAAATTTGACGCTAGAGCCGGACAATGTATTTTTCTTGGATATGCGGTTGGAATGAAAGCTTACAAATTGTATGATCTTAATTCTAAATCTATTTTCACTTCTAGGGATGTTGTGTTTCATGAGCATATTTTTTGTTTTTCAAAAACAACAAATTCTCCTTCTACCGATCATTACACACCCCTTCGTTATTTTCCATGATTACGTTCATTTACCAATTGTCACTTTTGATTCTTTTACTGATATTTCCAATTCTAGTTCTTCCACTGATACTCTAACTTCTTTAGATTCATCTATTCAAAATGATCAATCTTTTTATAATCCTAATGGTCACATATTACTCCTCTATCGGTAAGAAGGAGTAATCGTAATAGTAGACCACCAAATTACTTGTCGGATTACCAACTTACACTTCCAACATCCTCTCCTTCTACTTGTTCTACCAATAATCCAATTCATCATTTCATTTCTTTAACACATTTATCTCCCTCTCATGTCTCTTTTGTCACATCTCTTTTGAATATTGTTAAGCCTACATCATATCAACAAGCCATGCATTTCGAGCACTAGCAAATAGTCATGAAAGCCGAGCTTGATGCTTTTGAGGAAAATCATACTTGGACAATGGTTTCTTTACCTCATGATCAATATGTTGTTGGCTGTAAATGGGTATATAAGGTGAAGCTTCTTGCTAATGGGAGTGTTGATAGATATAAGGCTAGGTTGGTAACCAAGGGATATAGTCAACGGGAAGGCTTTGATTATTAGGAGACCTTCGATCCCGTTGTTGAGCAAACAACAATGAGAACTTTTCTTGCTCTTGCAACATCTCGAAGTGGCATTTGTCTCAAATGGATGTTAGTAATATATTCCGTAATGGAGATTTATCCGAGACGAGTATACAAGGATCTTCCACCGGGGTATCGGATCTAAGAGGAATATCTTGCCAATACAAGACTAGTTTGCAAGCTCAATAAATCTCTATATGGTTTGAAGTAGGCATCTCGATAATGGAATCAAAAATTGATGGCTTCTTTGGTATTTTTAGTTTTATATAGTCGAAGACAGATTACTCATTACTCACTAAGATAGTATCTTCTAATGATTGTATTGCCTTGCTTGTTTATGTAGACGACATTGTCATTCCAAGCAACTCCATGAACATCATTGAAGATTTTAAAAGATTTCTTCATACTCAATTGGGAGGAAAGTTGTTACATCTAACTTTCACAAGGCCCGACATTTCTTTTGTCATTCAAGTCTTTTCTCAATTCATGGATAAGCTTGCAAAGATCCATTTACAAGCTACATTTAGAGTGTTAAAGTATCTAAAACGTGCACTTGGGCAAGACATTCTATTTTTAAGTCAATCTAATGTAACATTGCAAGCTTACATCGATAGTGATTAGGCATACTGCAAGATACTTGCAATCGATCACTTGGATACTATGTCTTTCTTGGTGATTTCAATCATTAGCTGAAAAAAAAAAAAAACAATCATTGGTGGCCGAAGCTTAGCTGAAGTCGAGTATAGAGCAATGGCCATTGTTTGTTGCGAATTGATTTGGTTGCTATCTTTATTAACGGACTTGGGTTTTCAACATCAAGCTACGGTGAAGCTGAAATGTGATAATCAATCGGTGATTGGTATCAATAGGAATCCGAGTCTTTCATAAGAGAACCAAGCATATTGAAATCGATTGTCACTTTGTCGGATAAAAGGTTGTTGCTGGCATTATTCAACTCGAGTTTGTATCATCCAATCTACGAGTAACGGACTTGCTTACCGAACCTTTGCAACCAGCACAATTTCACTTTCTCTTGGCCAAGATTAGCATTACAAATATTCATGCTCCTCTTGAGGGGGATGTTGAAAGAAGAAGAGGACACGTGGCTTACGGTAGCCATTAATATTTCGTTATAACTAATTAACAAACGAGTTAGCAAGTTGGTTAGCTACAATCAATATTTTTCTTCTCTTCTTTCCTTTGTATATATAGCTAAGAAGACTGAGAATTTGCAATTCTCTGAAACATAATCCATATGAGTTTTACTTCTCCTTCAATTCTCTCCTCTGTTTCTCACATGCTATGGCAAGAAAGCAGTTCCGCTAGCTATCTTAACTTTTTTCTTTCCAAGGTTTTTTATTCGTTTACTATTTTTGTATTACCAGAGAAGCAGTGAATCCAATCCATAATCTTCTTTAGGCAGCTGCTGTATGCCACTGACCTATGACCCACTACAACCCCAGGCCAGGCCATGTTTGTTAGTTCTTGTGTTGTAGAGTATAATTGAACCAAGGATTGTGACGAGCAATTTTGCATATTACATAAATGTTTCATTTGGTAAATTGAATAAATAAACTGGCAATTTGCCTGTAATAAAGCTTTTAAATCAAGTATTTTATGAACTGCATCTGTCAATATACTTAGTCTCTGCAATAACTTTGTGAATTGCATGAACACAATGAGTACGCTATCTATTCGATCTGTTGACGAGTCTTGTACGATTAATCTTCTTAAGTGGAAGGTTTGCATTCCAGCCCGCGGCTGCTTAAAAGTAAATGCTTATTTTTACCCTGGAGAACGTTAAATTAGAGCAGTTTGGTTTTTAACTGTAATACTCCATTGCAATCAACCAACCGCAACAGTCCATTGAATCCCTTTGATCATGTCGCGATCTGTTATCTACATAAAGCTCAGAATGACGAGCTCTTATGGATATGGCGAGACCTGCTTGGTAATCTTTATGCGTTTCTGAAGTTGAAATTCCAGACATCAATAGTCTACATTATCAATACCATTTACAGATAAGCGATAATCAGCAAGAACAAGAGAAATTGCAGCCATTCCTGTGGAAACAAGAGTACTCGCTTTACCAATTCAACACACTATACCAGGCTGGGGAACATTTGGTGGTTGAAATGTTTTCCCAGTCTACAGAATACCTCTCTATCTCTCACCGAGATGTCAGTATCCACAATGCTTGGAAACAGAAGAAAAAGAATGCTACACTAAAATGAAGAATTATGGATAAAGTGACAGTTTTCACTCGGTTACTGGAAAAGGCTTATATATAATTGAGCTGCTCTCCTGGGAAAGAAGCTGTACAAGGGACAGTCTTTGTGTTGTAACATGTGATGTGAAACTTCATGCATGGACAGACTCCAATGGTACCGATAGTCTTTGACTTTCCCTTCTTCGATCACTGGTTTCTTCTAAAATGGAGATTCACAGAAACTGGACCATCCCAGTAGCAAAACAGCATCACTGCAAAAATTTATCAGGTCATTGACCAAGACAGAACTTTCAGAAATTTAGATTTTGCAGACTTACCATAACCAATTAAGCAGAGAACGTGGAAGAACATCCTCAAATTTCATGGTAATTGGCATGCAAGTTGAACAGGCAAGAAAGCATAAAAAAATTACAGTAGGAAATTTTTTATTCTCTCCCTGAAAGCTTCACGAAGAAATATTCATAAATAGCTCCTTGAGTAAATAATGGAACATGGAGTCCCTATGACCTGAGTTTGCAAACAACACTCCAGATAACTACGCTTTAGTGCAAGACAGGTGGATGTTGAGCATTATATTTGATAAGCTGATTCTGGTTTTTGTATTTTCAGAATTGGACTGTTTGTTAACAAATGCCTAATTGAATGCACATCAGGCTGGCATTTCCAAAGAAGCGCACGTGGAGGAAAGAAGAGGGGGGTTCTGTCAAATGCCAATTCACATCAAGACATGCAACGTATAAGTCTAAATGAATCAAAAGAAGAAAAATGAATGGTAGGACAGCCTAAATAGTACTTCAGTATTAAATACCTGGTGATCCTTGGCTAGTGCTGTGTCACCTCTGAGTTCACCCGTGACCCACCAGGAATCTCTGCCAGGGGATTCACAATGAAGCCACCACCACCACCCTGAAGCCGTAATCTTTGGTTCCCCAGATTTATTGTTTCAGAATGGGCATTCCTATCAGCTCTGTGGTGCACAGCAGCAGATAGAGGTGTACCCCTTGATGAAGAAATCCTTGAGTTTGAATAATTGCCTTCTGTTTTCTTCCAGAACTTGGAGCTCAAAAACTCTGCACCAGGTAGTAAACAACATGTGGTTCTGTTGGAATCTGTATTAGTCATCCTTCCACTTGATACAGCTAAATCATACGATATCTCATCCAGCGCCAACTCTAGGCCATGCACACGCGTCTCGAGGGAACACATCCCATTTTGCGAGCTCCCAATGAAACTCTAGATGTGATCAGGTAATGGAAGAAAGTGTGAGCAGAAACCTTCATTGAAGTACACTAGTGCTTGAATCAGCAATATAAATCATATAATGAAATTTGGTGCATTAACATTTATTAACTTACCAATTGAACATATATGAATAAAGTCTGGCTTACAAAATAAATATATTTATCATGCAATCACTAAATATATTAATCATGTGGGGCTACAAAAAATAAATAAATCTATTCACAATTTTGCTCAGAGACCCGGTGATAGTTTTTTGACAATTAAAACCCCAAGAAACAAACATCACAAACACAATTAGAATCAAGGTTCAAGTGATAACATATCTTAATGCAGATCGATCGATTAATAAGTATCATAATCTACTTTGTCTACTCATTGTACACATTGAAATCAGATGTATGGTTCAAAATAGAACCACTGGAAACAGGATTGAAGTTACACACAAGCTATTGAAGAGCTGGGCTCATAGCATGAAATGACAATCCATAACTTGCAAGCTCCAGTATTGTGTCATCATCAAAGAAAAATTTTCAAAACCAAAAAGTAAATAATTTCAATAAAGATCACACAGATGTTATGATGCCTTCCAGAAGTATTATCTGTCACATTGTTTTGAAATGTGGTTCCTAATTGACAAGTTTAACAGAAGGTTTCAATAGAATATGTTCAACAATGAGATGAATAGTTTATCATAAGAAAATCAAGATACTTGACAATTTTAATTTTCACTGCCGAAGTACTAATAAGTTAAGCCCAAGTTTCTAGTCAGTGAAACAAACCTGCAGGAGATCTAGTAGGCTGGATTGCTGTCTTTCAATCTGAACCAGCTGGTTGCGGATTAAAGATAAATCCTCACACCCGTTGTGGTTGCTATGGTGATTCTCTGTCCCACTGCTAGCTACAACAGTAGACCGAGGGCTCTCCTCATGACAGGGAGCCACACGAGATCCAGACTTGAAACCACCAAATTTAAGCGTCTTGTCATCAGAGTTTTTACTGAAAAGGGATCGTTTTGTTTCTGGCTTTGCACACCTTCTTTCTGGAAGGTTAGCATTTTTCTCCTTACGATCATTTTCCCCAGCTGCAGTTGCAGAAATGTTATTAGGAACTGAAATTTCAACTTTCCAATCCACAAGCTTCTTCTGGTCCACTTTCCCGTACATTGCTGGACTTGTTTTCTTCTCAGCACTCTTTGAAGGACCCCTCTTCCTAACTGTGGCTGCTAATGAACTGTCAGGTGGACTAGTCCTGAAAGCCAAAATGGATTTTTTCCTCATTTGAGAGGCTTCAGAACCAGCAGCACAAAAGTTTTTGGATCCAGACTGGTGACGCTCATCACTCGCATCTTCTGTGATCATAAAAAAGACCAAAATTTAGAAATGGTTTACACAAACAAGACCAAAATCTCATTATTTGCAATACTAGGATCCAAATAATGCCATGTAGACGATTAAAACTTCCAAATTTATTTAACAATAAATCTGAAGACCACGAAATGATCAAAACATGGTAAATTCCATTATTTAAGTGTAAATAAATAACATTAACAGAAATTAAACATCTGGCTTAAAATCAGCAGAAATGTCCATAATTCAGATTTATTCTTATCGCCCCATCATCTACTAATCAACAAAGCCAAACCAAATCAACTTCTCCTAAAAAATAATCCACATCTACAAAAGGTCAAGCCTAAAAAGAAAAGAAAAAAGCAACATTACTCCTCATTACCTCTCGAAGAAGCCAGTGATCGAGGAGGCGGAGATGCCTCCTCCGAAACATCCGGCACCTGCTTCCATGCCTCTATTGTCTCATTCATCACTTCCCTTGCAGCCTTCACCTAAATTAAAAATAACAAAATAAAAACACTTAAAAACAAGGACGCACTTAGACTAACACAATCAAATCAGAAACAAAATCCAAATAAAAAATAAAAACCTTATCGAATCTCCGATTCTCGAAAACTTTCAAGCACTCACTCTTAAACTCAGCAACACCATCCCTCTCCACAACAGCCAACTTCCTCAACGCCTCAGCTGCAGCTTTCCTAGAATTCCAATCCTCACTACTCAAAAACCCAACCAAACACTTAACCAAACCTCCAATCCCTCCTCCATTCCCTCTCATTCCACCAACACCAATCACACTCCCTACAACAACCAATACTGCAAACTTCGCTTTATACCCCTCGCTCTTCACCAACCGCTCCAATTTCGGCACCAACACTTTCCCTAGCCTCCCCGGTTCTGGATCCGGCGCCGCATCGATCGCGGCAGCCAAGCACAAAGCGGATCCAATCTGCGCATTCAATTCCTGCTCCGTAAACACCGGTTCACTCAACTGCTTTAAAAACGCAGCGGAGAATGGCAGTTTTGTGATTTTGGAAGCGAGTGAGGTTATTGCTGCCAAACACTGTGAGCGGATGACGGAGGAGTCAGGGTCACGGAGACGGCGAGTAATGTAAGAGAGGATTTTAGGGAGAGAGTTAGAGAGAGAATTAGAATAGAGAAGAGATAGAGTGGAGAGAAGGTGAAGGCAGTGTTTGCGTACTAACGGCTTGTCGGTAGCGTCGGTGGAGAGAATGCAAGAGAGGAAAGTAGAAAGTTTCGTGTTATCCAAGGACTCTGCGATTTTCTCTAACTCCGTTGACGCTATCGTGTACGTGTCTCTGTCTGACATTTTTGTTATCAATGTTAGAACTTTTAGTTTCAGATTTTGTGCCATCTTTTTTCCTTTTTCCCTTTTTTTTTTAGCTTCTGGTGGTCCTGGAGGTGGAGTTGAGGATGGTCAGTGGTGGTGCTGGTGGAATTAGTGGCAGCATTGCCGGCGAAGGTGGTTCGGTTGGGTTTTTCTTTTTCGGTGTGGTGAAGCTGTCAGTTGAGTATGATCATTTTAAAGTAGATGGGTGGTTATGGGTAATGCAAGCTAAGCTGATTAAAGGATTAAAACGATGTTGTCTTACGTGTATTCAACATAACACGGTGATGCTTTGGAGAAGGGCAAGGGTGGTATGGGCTTTCTTTCTACTGCACTAAAAAAGGTCAAGATGAGTTTAAGAGTGAGATAATGCTTAAGAGGGAATCAACGTAGCTGGATGTTACTAATTATGGCTTTGGTTGCATGAGTAAGGCATTTCGTCGTTGATAAAGCAAAATAATGTAAAAAGCTGCTTAAATATAATAGTCGGGTTGGTGATTGGGTGAGCTAGGCTTCATGGGCGGTTGATGCACCTAAATATTCCACTGGACCGACTCCAACCGGTTTTTCTTGCATATTTTTGTCAAAAAAAAAAAAAAAAAGAGTTCTTTTTCCATGAATTAAGCCATTCATTTTATGCTCGTTAGTTGTAATGGACAGAATAAAAATCTGAACAATTTCATTTTTTATTGTCTTTACAAATATAGAGGATGTGGTTAGATTTTTTAAAGTCAAGCGTTATAAAGCTTTCTATGTCAATAAATTATGATAATAAATGAGTTTACATTAGATATATTTTGCTTAGAAAAATGTCTATTACATTTTAGAAATTTTGTATGAATTCCTTAACAGTATCAATTGTATTGAAAATAAACCATATCCAATTTTATATTAAACCCAAATCCCATTTTGTAATTTCAAAATGATTGAAATTTAAATTATTATTATTATTATTATTATTATTTTGTAACCATGAAGATATTGTTTTACAGCACCAATTAGTAGGTCAACTACATCTCTTTTTTTTTTTTTCAATTGTAAATAGTATTTTTAGACCTATTATGCACATCAATCAAAATTAAATTTTCTTTCTAAACAATATTAAGAGTAGAGTACACCTCCTGCATAGATATTGATCTAATAAATTTATTAAAAATTTTAATAAATTACTTTAGACCCTGATCCTAAGATATAAATTTAAAAAATAAAAAATAAAAAATAAGCAAACAAACTTTTTAAGTATCAATCTAACCCAAAATTGTATGTCAAATACTCTTTCTATTCTAAAATAATTGTTTATCTTCCTATTAGATATGTATAAAAAGATGTTGATTTAGAATAAAATTAATAACTTTTGAAGAGGCTCTTTTTTTTTTCTTTCCAAAATTAAAGTATTTTAAAATATTATTTACAAAAACAAAACATTTTAAATCTTATTTACTAAATTATGGCTTTTTTCCATATATGCTTAAATAGCCATGTCATTTTATGTTGCATCATTTAAAAAAAATGATAATCAAATAAACATAGTAAAATTTAACCCTAATTCAAATAATTGTACAATACTTTTTCTTTACGTGCTGTCAATCTCTCTCTCAAAAATCAATCCATCTTTCTAATTAGTTAACAAGATAAATATCATTATTAGATTATGTTTTCATCCCAAACTCTCGTTAAGAAATCAATGTCTTTTTTTACTAACAAGATAAAGCAAGATAAACACCGTCATTGAATTATTTTTTATTCCAATTCTTTTTTTCAGTCTCTGTCTCTTTTGCTTTGTCCTCATAGCAATTTGAAGTTAATAGATTTCTTAAAATTCTAACTTATTAATATTACTTTAGGTAATTCATTATAAATTTAATATAAATCTATCAATTGACTTTGTTAAGACCTTCCTTCTGTTTTTCACTATCTTTTCCCTGCTTCTTGCTTTGACCTTCCTTCTGTAATTTGATACAAAATACAATCGAATGTATGAATAATTTTTTTTTAATAAAAGATAAAGAAGTTATAACTGAAAAGGAAAAAAGATCGAGATAAAAAAATAAAAATAAAACTCCTTTATTTTATTAAAGTTTATAGCATTTAGGTGTTGTTTGGTTACTAGGAATGAACGGTTCGAAATGAGAATGTAGAAATCGAAATGAAAATCGGAGAATCGAATGGTATTTGTATTTTCATATTGTGTTTAGAATACTAATGAGGAATTGAAATACAATTTAAATTTTTTAATATCTAATTTTTTATAAAAATAAAAATAATGATTAAAAAATAATTTTATTAAACTATAATAATTGTAAAAATAATAAAGGTAATGATAGTGGTGATGCTTGGTGTTGGTGGTTGTTGTGGTAATGGTGGTGGTAAAAGTAATTGATAGACAATAAATAAATAAAATATATTATTATTTATTCTTATTTTTTGTTTTTATTTTCACGTTTTAGATAAGAATGAAGTTGTGTGTAATTTTCATTCTCATTTTCATTCCCACTCTTCATTCTCATTACCACTTCATTCCCTTTAACTAAACAACTACAATGTAGGAATCAAGCTTTCATTCTCATTCCTACCACTCTATTCCTTATTACTAAACAACATCATAGAGTATTTGTGATTTTAAATTGAGATTTAAATTTTATAGCAACAAAAAAGTTCTCTATCTAAAATTCAGATTGTAAAATTATAAGGTAGAGAGAGGTTTTATTGGTTTTTTTAATTATTTTTTTACATGACATGATATTATTTTGAGAAGAAATGACATGGATTTTTTATGTGGAATTTATATGGCATAAAATGTATTATTTTGAAAAATAAAATAAAATTTACCTTGTTATGAGAAATATTATTTAAAAATACCTATATATATATATATTCTTTTTTTAAAAAAAAATTTTAGATAAGAACGTCCTTTAAAAAATTACATAGAGGGTTTTATTATTCTAAACCAAAAAACTAAATCCACAATATTTTCATTAGATTTGAGTAACTTACAAATGAAAACCCCATTAATTGATCACCGTAATAAGAAAGTCATTGCTCTTTTTGAAATAAATCTTTTGGATGAGATATTGGGGTATGAATTTTGCTTTCTAGACACTTTAAGCAACATCTTCCACATCCACGTTGTGAAAAATAAAAGCACCGATGTTGCCGAGAGCCTGCCACGTAGTTACATAATCTATACTCGCTGCCATTATTTTTGGTAGATTTTCCAACAAAACGGACCATCTTTTAGTGACCTGGCACACCTGAGTGAGACTCGGGATCTACTCTGCCGGCATGGGGACAGTTCAGATGAATGCAGGTCTACGATACTGTTGACCTCAATGAAAAGAACGAATAATGATTACGGGACATGAAAGCATGTGAAGGAATTATGCGTCATGGCAGTTATTACGGGTAAAAATTAGCGCCAAAAATTAAGGAGTCACGTGACGCTGGAAGGGATTTATTACCGTGTCTGGAATCAAGATGCTCCGTATTCTGCCAGTTAAATTATTGCTCAACTGGTTTCGTGATCAGGTTTGTGTTTGCTTAAAAATAAATAAATAAAATTAAGGGGTTATGTTAACTCCATAGTCATCATATCGATTCTAGCTTAAAACTAATACTAAGTTATATGAAATAAATTTATTATGATTTCTTATTATTTTTGTATGAATAATCAGTTTTTAACCATATCAAAAATATGATTTTAATTTTAATATTTTAAAGCTGATTTTATGAAAATTATTTCCGTAAAAAAAAAAAAAGGTTTTTGGTTGTCAATTAAAAAAATGTTGTTAATGCGTTTGTTAAGCTCTTGGAAAAAAAAAAAAACTGAAAAGCATTTGAGGAAAGGATTTATTATTTTGATGGATTAATTAAGAAGTTCTTCCTGGTTTGGTTGCCAACCAATAATTGATGACACAAATTATAAGTGGTTGAACGGTTCACTATTATTTTATTTTAATAATATTTTAGACAAGGAAAAAGTCGTCTAATCGTATAGATTAATTTGAGTAGGAAGGAAGAAGTGTATATACATGTGTATATATATTGAAGATCCTGGGATCTACATATTGATTCTTCTTTTTATCGTGATTTTTAGTATTGTTTAAGTTGTATCATGTGATTTAACAGTTGAAATTTTCTTTATCATGATTCAATAGTTTTAAATTAGAGACTGTTCATGAGCTATAGTTCTCTTAACATGGATGTGAACATTACTGTGAAACAACCATCACCTAAACGAACAGTAATTTCTATCCCTTGTTCGGCTTGTCTTATATAAAAAAATATCGATTTATAGATCAGATTTAAAATTTAATTTTTATGATTAATATTTTTAAAAATTTATTTTTAAATTATAAAAAATTATGTATTGAAAAATATTTTTAATAATATTTAAAAATAAATTAATTTTGAAATATGTGAAAATTAATTTAAGATACTTTTATTGCTTAACCTTTAAAAAACAAATAACCAAAAAAGTTAAAGTGGTGCGGTCAACTAGGCCATACTTGCATATTTGAAGTGTTTACTAAGCTAGTTTCCTTGTAAAGATAGCGTTAGTCTAATATCATATCATTTGGACTAAAGAATCAACCAAGAATTGGGTGGGGTTTCATTTAATGATTAGGGTCCCGTACTGCTTACATGCTTATTATAAGCTTCAGAAATGGAAGTTCTCATCACCATATGGACACAGGAAATCATACTCTTAAGTAAATTAATGATATGTCGAATAGTTTGTAGTTTAGTTATAGTAGTCTTCGTTTATAAAATTATGAATTTAAATTATAATAGATTGGTTTTATTAAGATATTTGACGTGTGAATTAAAAAAAAAATTAAAATAAGTAAATTAATGGAATTGTTGCAATGAGGTTTTGTCTATTTAGTTACATTCTATTCAATGCGTGGGTCTCGAACCTTCACAATTCACAACTACCAGATCGTGAAAAGTTTTAGTGAATTAGTTGAATGACAATCATGGAATTAGCAAAGGAAAATTCTGTAATTGCAACGCGCATATATATATAT